TCCAAAATTGGGCCATGTCCAGGTGGCCACCTTGCCCCTGGCTTCAGCCGGCCCTGCCTTTATTATTTGCATTAGGCTATATGTTTACGTAATGCGCACACACACACACACATATATATATGAGGAATTTACTTAAATAATACTAAAACATAATGACTTTCTCTAAGTAGCACCACATGTATTTTTCTTCCCAATATAGTACTTTTAGTCATTATGTATTAATCATTATTCAAGCAAATATCTGCCATTACTGGACATTATGGACATTATTAAGTGCTATTTAGAGAATAAAACTGTTTAAGTGCTATTTAGAAAAATGATTTAAGTTTTAGTGCTATGTAGTGCAAATTTTTCTTTTATATATATATATATATATATATATATATATATATATATATATATATATATATATATATATATATATATATATATATATATATATATATATATATATATATATATATATATATAGACACACACACACACTTACACACACACACACATATATATATCTGTGTGAGTATAGAGTAAGTCTAAAATGACAGCACTGGTGTTATTTGCTTATACCTGTTCGTTTGGGGTATCTACGGTACTCCATTTGTAAAAATGACGGTCCCTTAAAGGTATGTATATTATTATTTGATGTTTTGTTGCAGAGAAGAAAAAATATAGAATTAAGAAAAAATATTATCAAATTTTTGAGAACTTAAGAAAGAGATATTTTTGTGTTGACTTTCCAACAATATCTTTGATGAGATTGGGAAAAGTAGGATGTGATAGATAGATTATTAGTAAAAAATATGATGTGATAGACAGGGTAAATATTAGTAGGGGTAAAACTGATTTTCTTAATAGAAAAACGAAGAAGCTTGTGGGACAATGAAAAAAGAAAGAAGAAAGAGTTTAAGAGCCTGTTCTTTAGGACTTGAAAAAAAGATTTAGATGTTGGAAGAAACTGAAAGAAAATGTAAGAAACTAGAGGGTGTTTGGGTGTAATTAACTTGTGGATAAAGTGATTTTCAAAAAACATGAAAGCAAAAGCACCTCATACCTGCTTCTCCGAAACGGTGTTCTATGTATAAAATAGTGGTGTTGAAAAGCAGAAGCTGACATGCCAAACAGAGTAAAATCACTTCCACTTAAAGCAGAAGCTAAATTATTAAAAGCAGCGCATGGCCAAACACCCTCTTAAAAGGAACAAGAAGAAACTGGAAAAAATTTAAAAAAATCTGAAAAAACTAGAAAAAATAATAAAATCTAAAAAAACTAATAAATTTTTTGTGTGTGTTTTTATATTATTCTCATTCTAATTCTTGTTGTTATAAATTATTATTGTTGTTGTTGTTGTTGGGGTCATCGCGTTATCTTAATGAATGCCTTTAGATAATAAAAAAATTATAGTTTAAACAAAAAAACTACTTTTGAAAAAAAATCAATTAGAATATAAAATTAGAATAAATATCAGAACGTTAAATACTTAAAAGTTATTATGGCTATGCAGTATTTATCATACAATAATCTATTTGCAATTATATTTTATGTATTATAAAATTTTGTTTTAAATATCAGACATGTCACTTAATATAATCAAACCTACATTTTTCTTTAATGATTGATATTTTATATTCATTGTAACCCTAATTCTAAAATAAAGACATAGATTTTTTTTATATTTTACTCTTACTTTAGTCATTTTCTCTAAAGTACTTTGACTTTCAATTTTTTTTATAAAAATCAGAAAAATGAAAAACAAAATTAGTTTTTTAAATAAATGAAAAAGAGAAAAAATTGAGTAATAAAGTATTAATTTTTTGTTATTTGTATAAATTGACTTTAAGTATAAATTTTTTGTAAGTTTTATTTTAATTATTTGTGATATTATTTGTTATCTGAATTTCTTTTTTACACTTTTTGGGTCATTTTTTTCTTTTTCAAAATGTAGTTCTCTCTGGGTTTTCAATCTTAATGTAGTACTCTCCACCCCCATTCCGTTTTTATATTTTAGATTAAAATATTGATTTTTACCTTATATAAATTTAGATTAAAAAAACATTCTGTGTAACTATTTTAATTTATCCATAATTTTTTTAAACATTTTAAAATATTGATGTTTTCCTATTTTATCATGTAGATCAATATCCAAAAGAGTGTGAATCAAAAAAATAGTATGAAAAAACAAAATAATTTATAAACTATAGTTATGAACATAATAGTTGTAATACTAATAATAATAATAATAATAATAATAATAATAATAATAATAATAATAATAAATTGTTTTTAGAGTGATTTTCCGAAAAGCAGAAAAAGTTTGATGAACATAAAAATAGTTGGAAGAAACTGGAAAAAATTGGAAGAACTGTAAGAAACTGGAAGAAACTAGAAAAAACTGGAAGAACTGTAAGAAACTGGAAGGAAATGGAAAGAACTAGAAGGAACGGGAAGAATCTGGAATTTTAAGAGTTTAAGCTCTGAAGAACAGGCTCTAGGAGACGGAGGGGGCATCTTCTTAATTAAATTTTCTCAATTATTTCACAATGAATATTATTTAGTTTATCCTTGAATATTTAATTTATTTCTTTGTTTAAAATTAAAGAATTTGAGAGCCTAAAATAGAACAGTGATCGTTTATAAACTTTGTTTAAGATGGGTGAATTTGAGGCCTATAATAATAAAATACTTATATTTAAGTAATTAGTAATCTTATAAATGTTTAAAAACATAAAAAACTAAAGTGTTAGTACCCCTGATTTCTGGAGCTGATATAAAAAAATAAAAAATTGCTAAGCAATGTCATAAATTGATCTAGGGTTGTACGATATTTCATTTGTAAAATTGACGGTTTCTATCTCTTATAACTCCCTGATAAATCCCCCACCCACCCCAAACCTACTGCCCCACTCCTTCAACAAAAACTAAATTGCTAAGCAATGTCATAAAACGATTTAGGGTTGTACGATATTTCGTTCGTAAAATTGACGATTCCTATCTCTTATAACTCCCTAATAAATCCCCTACCCGCCCCGAATCTACAGCCCCACTCCTTCAATTTAACCCTCCAAGTTTGATTAATCTTGGAGTCAAAATTTTGACTCCAAAGTGAATGAAAATTGGGGGATGCAATTGAAAGGGGTGGGACAGTGAGTTTGGGGCAGGAAGTGGTGAGGGGTTTATCGGGGGATTAAGAAGGGTAGGAACCATCGATTTTATGAACGTAGCATAAGACGCCTCCCGAGTCATCCCATGACATAGTGCAACCCTAAAACAACGATAATAAATACTCCGTAAATTATTATTCCTATTAGAGTGTGAGGCCTAAAATGGATTATCAATTCATAACTAGATAAAAGATGATGTGTCAAAAAAGGTCATGCGGACTATCCACGTGTGTCGCTCGTAGAAATTGGAGTCTAAAATTTATGTTTAAAAGATAAAGATTTCATCGATCATTTGATAAAATAAAATAACTTTATCATCACTTTTTTTAAAATTTTTGATGTAATTTTTTAATATATTATTTTTTTGCTTTTTAACTCTATAGAAATTTTTATGTATATTGATTGAAAATAACTATAGTCTAGCACTGGAAAATGAAATAGAAAATTTATTTTAGGACAGATGAAATATTTAGGGTTCGTTTGACACACAAAATTGACGGAATTAGAATTGAATTGGAAATTAAAATTATATTGAATTCTCCTTTTCCAAATCCTCATATTTTTTTATTTTATTGGAATTATTGTCCCCAATTTTAATTAAATAATTTGAATTTGGTGTATCAGATAGAGTTTTAGATTTTTTTTCAAAAAAAAGTGTCAAAGTAAATTTTTAAAGACAGTTGGCGCGTAGAGGCCATTTGACAGCATATACGCACATGATAGTATTTGGTTAGAAATCGAGGCAACAGTAGTGAAGTTTGAGGGCAAAAGGTGCCATGCGCGATCCAATGCCCAATTTTACCTCTCTTCCTACGGCTCTACAAATCATTGGGTTTTTAACTCTTTTCTGTTGGTTCGGTATTGCCGGACTCTTAATGTGCTTCTTCTAAAGTTTTCTTCTTGCACCTAAAACTAAAACAAAACAAAGAGTGAAGCGTCGTGCCGTGGACTAACTCCACTGCCTTAGAAACGATTTTGCCTTCACCGGTGCGGTTGATCAAAGACGTCGTCCCCCAAGGATAACATGGAAGCCGGCCTTTGTGCGCACCCACAGGAGCTAGAAGGAACTGTACAAATTATGCTCAGCAAAGGGAAAAAGAAATTTGCAGGAAATTTGCAGAAGGGTTTTCCATATGGAGTAATTTTCCCTTTGTATTTTTCTTATACAGCACCTCTGCCAGAGAACTCAAAATAAATAGGCAAGGGAGATGGAGATGTTTTTAAGAAGTTGAGAAATTTGTGGAGAAGAAGAAGAGGTGTACGGTGAGACCATTAAAGTAGGAATCAATTTGAATGGATCCACTCACTCCACCAATTTGAAAAGTAAAAGGATAAATACTTCTCTGACTAAGTAAAATTAAACAATTAAAATTAAATAAAAAAGAATTAGTTAAAACAAAAGAAACCTCTAGAAGCCTTGCATTACACAACAATCCCCCACTAATGCAAGGATGAAAAGATTTAAAAAAACTTTCAATGCTGAGCAAAATAAGGTTTGATACTTAAGTGTTAGTATATGTTATATTTGAACCAACACATAGTGAAATGAGGTCACTCCATAATCTAGAGAGAGAAAAATAAATTTCTTGAACTCTCTTGATGTCAAGAGATAACCCGATAACACATATCTCACCTTTCTTCATGTACGAGTTCCGCGATAAACGATACTCAAGATTGGCAACAAACCTCAGGATGCTCATAAGTGCTCTAGAAAAACAGCCCATAGTTTTTCATAGAAGGTCACCACACCTTCACACTTACGTAGGTGATTTCATCAAGTCTACCTCAGCGTAGACCACCAAACCGGCTATGAAAACATTAAGAGTATATAAAAATACTCACCCTCACAAATCAATTTGTATATCCATCAAGTCCAACGGACCACCCAAACGAGGCTATGGATTACATAGAGTGTTAAACCTCAACACAACACACCATAGGAATGGAAAACAAAACAATAAAGATGAGTCTTTCCATAGCTTCGTTTGACCATTAAATTTTTCTAAGCAAAATACTAATGGTGTCAACTATGAATTCCTCAACCAATGGGCTTAAGACCCATTCCCCTCGATGTTTCAAGGACTAACTTTCTATTAAGTCCTTTAGTTAATGGATCAGTGAGATTCCTCTCTGATTTAACGTACTCCATTATACACCTTATTCTTAGCAACGCTAATAGCTGCTTGTGAATCACATAACCTAGAGATGGGTGGAGCAGGCTTGCCCCAAAGAGGAATATCTGCAAGTAGGTTTCTCAACCATTCAACCTCTTGACCTGCTAAGTCAAGTGCAATAAATTCTGACTCCATAGTGGAACGAGCAATACAAGTCTGTTTTGCAGACTTCCATGAAATTGCACCGCCACCTAGAGTAAAAACATAACCACTAGTAGAACTCACTTCATCATTATCAGTCACCCAGTTTGCTTCACAATAACCTTCTAAAACTGCATGATAACCGACAAAATGTAAACCCAGATTCATAGTACCTTTGAGATATTTAAGAAGCCTTTTAAGAGCATGCCAATGCTCGCTACTTCGGTATACAATATCAGACCGAGTACAATTCATCAAGAACATTAAACTACCAATTATTTTAGCATACTCACTTTGAGAAACACTAATTGCTTTATGTTTCTTCAAAGGTATACTAGCATCATAAGGTGTTCTTACCGGCACTTAATCAAAACAATTAAATTTCCTCAAAATTTTTTGGTAGCATATGCAATATCAGACCGAGTCTACTAACAGCATATGCAATATCAGACCGAGTACAATTCATCAAGAACATTAAATTACCAATTATTTTAGCATACTCACTTTGAGAAACACTAATTTCTTTATGTTTCTTCAAAGGTATACTAGCATCATAAGGTGTTCTTACCGGCACTTAATCAAAACAATTAAATTTCCTCAAAATTTTTTCAATATAATGTGATTGATATAAAGTGAAGCCTTTATCAATTTTATTGACTTTAATGCCCAAGATAACATCAACTTCACTTAAATCTTTCATTTCAAAATGAGAGGATAAAAATTGTTTGGTTTCATTTATGACATTTATACATGAACCAAGAATTAACATATCATCAACATATAAGCAAATAATCACACAATCATTGCCAAATATTTTGTGATAAACACAAGTATCTGATCCATTAGAAATAAATCCAAAACTGAGAATTGTGTTCTTGAATTTTTCAAACCATTGTTTTGGGGCTTGCTTTAAACCATACAAAGATTTCTTAAGTCTGCATACCTTATTCTCCTGGCCCGGAACAATGAACCCCGAAGGTTGCTCCATATAAATTTCTTCTTCAAGTTCACCATTCAAAAATTCAGTTTTAACATCCATTTGATGTACCAATAAATTATGCATTGAAGCTAAAGCAAATAAAGCACGAATAGTAGCAATTTTAGTCACAGGTGAATAAGTGTATAAGAAATCGACCCCAAAATTTTGTGTAAAGCCTTTAACTACAATGCGTGCCTTAAACCGTTCAATTGAACCATCGGGTCGTAATTTCTTTCTAAAAACCCATTTGCTCTTAATGGGCTCAAAGCCCTTAGGCAAATCCACAAGTTCCCAAGTGTTATTGAACATAATAGATTCTAGCTCACTATTTATAGCATCTTTCCAAAAGTTAGCATCAATCGACCTCATGGCTTCCTTATAAGTCTTAGGATCTTCTTCGATCAAAAAGGTTTGAACCAAAGACTCATCAATATAATCATAATTATCAATCTCAGCCAAAAATGTTGTTAAAAAATCAGGACCAAAATTTGTTTCAATTCTACGCCTTTTGCTTTTCCCGATTTTAGTTACCTCATTATCTTTAGATGGAACAGAAGTAGATTCAAAAATAAGAGCTGATAAAGTAGGACGAACAATGTCCTTCTTCAGTGAAAAAATATGTTCAAAAAATTCAGCATCCATAGATTCACATATAGAACGATTATTGAGGCACATAAATCTGTAAGCAGCACTATTATAAGCATAGCTAATAAAAACAGTATCAAAAGTCTTAGACCCGATATTAGGACGTTTAAAAGCCGGCAAACTCACTTTTGCAAGACACCTCCACACTTTGAAATATTTGAGATTAGGAGCATAACCCTTCCAAATTTCATAAGGGGTCTTGTCTAGCTTTTTATGTGGAACACGATTAAGAATATGGTTTCCAAAAAGTACCGCTTCCCCCCACATTTCATCAGGTAAACCAGAACTCAAAAGCATAGCATTCATCATTTCTTTAAGAGTTCTATTTCTCCTTTCTTCTATTCCATTTTGTTGTGGAGTATAAGAAGCAGTATATTCATGAATTATGCCATTTTTTCTCACAAACATCCTTTAAAAAATTTGTGCTATATTCTCCACCTCAATCGGATCTAAGTCTCTTAATTTTCCTGTCTAGCTGATTTTCAACTTCTGCTTTGTATATTAAAAATATATTCTCAACTTCATCTTTAGTTCTTAGAAGGTAAAGTTTGGTAAATCTAGAACAATCATCCACAAATGAAATATAATAAAATTTACCACCTCTACTTTGAGTATTTTTGAAATCAGCTAAATCCGTATGAATTAATTCTAACAATTCAGATTTTCTTTCTCTCACACATTGAAAGGGCTTCCTAGTATGCTTTGATTCAACACAAATTTCACATTTGGAGAAACCACTTTCAATCATGTTAGGAATTAAATTTAAAGATTTAAGGCGTTTCAGAGAATGAACATTTAAGTGTCCTAGTCTACCATGCCACAAATCAATAGACTCAGCAATATAAGCAGAAGTAGAAGCTTTGTTCATGTTGTTAACGGAAACATCCAAAGCAAACAATCCACCAGAGAGATACCCTTTCCCCACATACTCCCCATTACGGGTCAGAACAAGCTTGTCAGCCTCAAAGACCAACTTAATACCAGCCTTATTAAGTAAGGCTCCAGAAATCAAATTCCTACGAAGGGAGGGGACATTAAAAACATTTGACAAGGATAAAGATTTTCCAGAAGTTAATTTAAGAAGAACCTTTCCTTTGCCAAGCACATCTGCACTATTTGAATTTCCCATGAACACCTCGATTTCGGCAGACTCATCAAACTCAACGAACATGGTTCCGGTGTCCACTATCCACTCAACATGGTTCTCAACCATGTTCACTTCAGAAACAACGGCAGTGATGATGTCATCATGCTCGACAACATTAACTTGAGGATTGTGGTGAACATTTCCATCCTTGTTATTGTCAAATCTCTTAAAGCAGCAACTAGCCTTATGACCTATTTTACCACACACGAAACAAGCACTGTTATTTTTCTTTTGAATTTGTCCACCATGGTTCTTGAAGTTTTTATTTCCAGGTTTCTTGAAGGACTTCTTATTCGATTTGAAAGAGCCAGAGAAATTCCCTTTAGACCTGTGATTATTGCCATTTGAAGATTCAACGGGGTTAGCTTTAACAGGAGGTAAAACGGAAGAGGACAATGACTTATCATTGAGGCGATTTGCCTCTTCAATTTTGATGTGGTAGACTAATTCATCTAGTGGCATGTCTCGTTTCTTATGCTTTAATTTTTTGCAATATTTTGCCCATGATTATGGCAGCTTCTCAATGAGAACATTTTCTTGCAAAATTTCGCACATCATCATCCCTTCGGCCAGGACATCAGAAACCAGATTCTCGTAATCATGGACTTGGTCCATGATTGATTTGTCATCCACCACTTGAAAACGCAGCCATTCTCCGGTGACATACTTGCGCTTTCCAGCATCATCTGCCCCGTACTTCTTCTGCAATGTCTCCCAAATTGACTTTGTGAACTTGTTTGGAATGAACAAATCAAACAATGGATTTAATGTGACTAAAAAGATGACCACGAATTGTTTTGTTGTCCTTCTCGTACTTTCTTTTGGCTTGGTCATCTCCCTTAGCCTTGTCTTTGGAAGGAGTGCGTTTGGACTTCTCTGGAGCGGCAACGGCTTTGGTAGCGGCGGCATCGGCAATTGCAGCGGTGGAGTCGTGGGTGGTGTTGGTATCTTCAACGAAATCGGTTGGGGCGTCTTCGAACAAGACGTAATCAACCTCAAGTTGTTCGAAAAATATTAGCATATTCTGCGACCACCGGCGGTAATTCTTTCTGTCGAGCGGCTCGAGTTTGAAGAGGTCTGGAAGAAGTTTGTTGAGAGCAAGAGCCATTTTCGCAGTACCAAAAGAAAATCGTTTCTAAATTGTTGGTTTGGTATTGCAAAACTCTTAATGTGCTTCTTCCAAAGTTTTCTTCTTGCACTTGAAACTGAAACAAAACAAAGAGTGAAGAGATGTGCCGTGGACTAACTCCACTGCCTTAGAAACGATTTCGCCTTCATCGGTGCAGTTGATCAAAGACGCCGTCCCCCAAGGATAACACGAAAGCCAGCCTTTGTGCGCACCCACAGAAGCTGGAAGGAACTGTACAAATTATGCTCAGCAAGGGGAAAAAGAAATCTGCAGGAAATTTGCAGAAGGGTTTTCCATATGGAGTAATTTTCCTTTTGTATTTTTCTTATACGGCACCTCTGCCAGAGAACTCAAAATAAATAAGCAAGGGAGATGGAGATGTTTCTAAGAAGTTGAGAAATTTGTGGAGAAGAAGAAGAGGTGTATGGTGAGACCATTAAAGTAGGAATCAATTTGAATTGATCCACTCACTCCACCAATTTGAAAAGTAAAAGGATAAATACTTCTCTGACTAAGTAAAATTAAACAATTAAAATTAAATAAAAAAGAATTAGTCAAAACAAAAGAAACCTCCAGAAGCCTTGCATTGCACAACATTTTCTTGGATGCTCATCCCCTTTTTCATTTTCATTTTCATTTACTAATGATGATGACTTGTAGGGGTGAGCATGGTACGGTGTTTAGCTCGGTATGGAATATACAAATTACAAGATAAAATGGATTAAATGGAATTTTATGTTCGGTATGGAATTTTATGTTGTACCTATCCAGATCCCGAAGCATCGGTTCGGTATGGTTCAGGATGGTTCGGTATTGGTTTTGGTACAAATCGAGATGAATATATATGTACCTAGTTTACATCATAAAATGTAACAAAACCTTTTATTTTTGAAAATTGAAAGTACATTTAACCAAAGAAATATAAAAAATTTAAAAATGATAAAATAAAATACAAGAAATGCTTACAAAAGTTAGTTTATATATCACAAACTAAAGAGAACGAGTGATAACAAATTATTATTTCAAATATTTGTTAATAATCTTATACTCATCTACAAAAAATAAAAAAACTCTTAGTAAAGTGCAACTTAAACATAATAAAACTAAACTAAATTGTCTATATAAATTTTTTTATTTAATGAAGAAATATAAAAAGATTATTATTTTTATAATATAATAGTATACATTTTCGGTTCAGGAATTTCCGTATGGAAAGTAACCTCGTACCGTTTCCAAATACCGGACCGACTGTTCGGTTCGGTACGGTTCAGTTTCTTTTCGGTACTTTATTGGTTCGGTATTTTTCGGTTTGATATTCTTGGTTTTTTCGGGAAATATCGGGATCGGTTCGGTCCTTGTGGGCAAAAGGTGCCATGCGCGATCCAATGCCCAATTTTACCTCTCTCCCTACAGCTCCACAAATCATTGGGTTTTTTAACTCTTTTCTTGAATGTTCATCCCCTTTTTCATTTTCATTTTCAAATGATGATGACTTGTGCCTTTTCTTTCATAGTCTTTCCATCCCCAAAGGATGACACCCATCCACGAAGGTCCTTCACTATATCTGAAAAACATAAATGAAGTTTTAATTTAAGTGAAGAATAAGGAATGTGATCCAAATTTAGTCCCAACAAATGGTGTTAATGCAAAGCATAAATCATCTCACACTTACCTTCATTTATAGTCGAACCTTGGCCATTATTTGTGAACATAGTTATTTGTGAAAATGTTAGTCCCAACTTTTAAATCTAATTATTCATATTAAAAAAGCTAAACTCCACTATTGGTCCTTCAACTTTATCATTTGCGCACGACTGGTCGTTCAAGTTTTAAAAGTCTATAAATATTCCTTTAACTTTATGAGTTATGCATGATTGGTTCTTCAAGTTTTAAGTCCATAAGTAAACTTCAAGTACACGTCAGCCCTCCAGATGAGGTCTTTTTGACAGTAAACATTAAAAGTTAAATGCAGTACTAGCTCCATATAATACGGAGTAGTCGTACCTAGTAGAACTTACTCGTATTATATGAAACTAGTATTTCATTTAGCTTCTAATGTCTACTGTCAAAAGGACATCATCTAGAGGGCTTACGTGTACTTGGATGACTACTTATGAACTTTTTAAACTTGAAGGACCGCACAACTTATAAAGCTGAAGGACTATTCATGGACTTTTGAAATTTGAAGAACTAATTGTGCAGAACTCATAAAGTTGAAGGACCAATTATAAATTTTAGGCTATTAAAAACTCCATATCATTTCACTTTCATCTGTCTCAAAAGAAAATTATATTTTCAATTAAAAAGTTACTTTTACTCTTCAAGACCGATCCCGAGAATTTTATGGCCCGACACTAGACAAAAAAAGGACCCTTAACCCCCGACTAATTAAATAATTATACTCGGTGCCGAGTATAAACTTATTTTGTGAATCAGTAATTTACAACTCTTTTTTTCAAAACTATACATCACGAATTGAATAAGACAATTAGTGAGTTTCAAATTTCAATAAAAATAATAATGAGCGAATCATTAATTCGGTAGCATATAACCGATCATTAATTTACTAGCTTTTTTCTAAACAATACGCTGATACGGAGTGAATTGAATCAATGAAGGTTGAATTCAAAGCATGCAGTTGAAATCAATACAACAATATACTCCGTATTACTTTATGTGTGAATTATAAACAACAAAATCGGTAGTTTAAGTGGATGAGTTACGTGCCCTCATCCTCCCAAATGTGTTTGGGCTCGACATCCACCTACAACATTTAATTTTTTAAAATAGAGAAATTAATAACTAGATTTGGTTTATAAATTTAGAAAAAAAAAATTAAGCCCCTAAAATAAATGGGCCCGGTCCAGTACGGCTACTCAGCCCACACCCGAGCCGGCCCTATACCAATTCTTACCCTACTGATTAAATCATACACATTTACAATTAATCTACTCATCTCATTCTACTTTTACTCATCACATGGAAGAGTATATTTTAGAAAGTCAACATCAAAATATACTTCTCTCTTACATCTCATAAAAATCAATAAGGAAGAGTTTTTAGGGACGATGAGAGTAATAAATAATATACTCCCTTCGTTCAACAATTATGATGTCGTTCACTATTCACAGAGTCAAACTTTATTCATTTTGTTGGCGTATTTTGATTGCCCATTTGACAATATAACATAGTCATGTCAACAATAGTTTTAAATATCTTTTTATGTAGTTTTTAAATATGTAATTTTTATTTCTTAATTCCATACGATTTTTTATATAAAATGATATTAAAATGGGGAATTTACCTAAATAGTATTATAACATAGCGACTTTCCTAATGTATTACTATATGTTTTTATTTCCCAATATAGTACTACAGCTCAATGTCCACTGGTCATTGTTCAAGTAAATGTGCAGCGCCACTGGACATTGTTCAAATTAAATGTCCACCATCACTAGAAATTCTTCCCGCCGCTAGACATTATTCAAGTATTCGTACTCCTCCGTCCCAAAAACTTCTTCATGTTTCAAAAAATGGTTTCCCACAATCTCGTTTCCATTTCTATTAAAAAAACACTTTTACTTTCTACTTTTTATAACCTATACATCAATCACATCATTTCTTTATCATAATAATTTACACATCAACATACTACTTTGACTCTGTGTCTTACGTTGACACGTAATAGTATATGGTTTTGTAAGTCTTAAGGGTTTTATTTAGCCATTAACTAGGATAATTACTCTTTTGAAAAAATAGTGCTCCATCGTTTCTGAATGTTACTTGAATATACTACAATATAATGTATGTAGTATATATACTGTATTATTTTCACAACTTAATAGGTGAGCTTTCTATTAATCTTAGGGTGTGGACTTCAATCAAGAATAGCAATATGGAGTATTATTCTCTCATTGTCCACATGAAAAATTTGGAGTATTATTCTCTCATTGTCCACATGAAAAATTTAAAATTACTCTGTGGTATCCTTGATTTTTTAGTAATAACTTTCATGTCACATATTGTCTTAAACATACTTTAGTATACTCTCGATTTTTTGATAAGAACTTTCAAGTCTCATATTGTCCAAAATATACTACACGGATCCTTAGAATTTGTGATAATGTACTCCAAAGGTACATTCCGTCTATTTGGCCGTTATGATTGAAAGTTCTGTTATTTTGACAAATACTAAATTTTACGTTGATAATCATTAAAATATTTAATTAAATTTAAATAAAATTCTTCAATTATTCAAGTAAAAAAACTTTTAATCTAATGCCTAAATGGAGAGAATCTACTCTATGAGTATAATATCACAAATTTTAAGAACCCTGTTAGAATATAAGAAACATTTTCCTGGTCACAACTACAAGTTTGAGCTTTTGGTTGAGTTGGTTCATTCCTTGACAAACCCCGAATTATATTTCAGATAATGTAAGACTTACGAGCTATTACTAGAAAATGAAGGGTATCATGAAGTAATTTTAATTTTTGTAAAAAATTAATCTTCCGAGTACATACCAATTAAAGGAAATATGGTCGAGTGGCATACTCTACTATACCTGAACCACATAACTTCACAATAAAGAAGGGTAAAGATGGTCGTCATATTGCAAAATTGTGTTAGGAGAACTGCACATATACACTACGTAATACACATACGGTGGGAAACTGGTCACTAATTAATTAATAAGTAAAACAAAAATGAAAATGAATAATAAAAAATCATTTCAAAAAAAAAAATCCTAAAAGAGCTATAGCTAATTAAGCAGCTAGAGCATGCATGCTACCAGAAAATCCCAACTCTCTCCTGCAATGCATATATCTACTACGTACTTTTCATTTGTTTCTCCTTCTGGATTTTCCTTTTTGTTTCTTGCATGCATTCTGTCAAGAAGAAGAAGAAGAAGAAGAAGAAGAAGAAGAAGAAGAATTGGTGGTGGGTAAAGGTTGAAACATGATGGGAGCGCCGAACTGTGGATGGAGAAGCATCAAGACGGTGGGGGCGTGCCGATACCGCGGCGATAACCGGAAGGAGAAGCGGCGGAGAATGATGGCGAGCGTGAGCTTGGTCTGGAGGACGGCGAGATTCTGGCCGATGCACTGGCGGACACCGAGGCCGAAGGGAATGTAGGCCACGGGGTGCTTGGCGGCTCGGGCAACCCCCTCGGAGAAGCGGGCCGGGTTGAATTCGTTGGCGTCGTTGCCCCATATCGACTGGTCGTGGTGGACCGCCAGGATCGGTATCAGCACCTCCGTCCCCCGCGGGATCTTGCACCCTCCCAACTCCACGTCGTCCTTCGCCCTCCGTATCGTCGCCACGATCGGAGGGTAAAGTCGTAAAGACTCGTTCAGTATCATGCTCAACTGCAACCCCGCATTTATCAAAAATAAATTCAATCAAATATCATAACACTCAATTAAAGTATTAGACCATGGGCATTTTGGTAAATGAGAGTGATTATTGGGTGGGAGAAGACAAAAGCATTGAAGCTTTTAATTTATGTGGATCATCATCATCATCATTATCAAACTAGGAGTAATTAATAAAGGGGGAGGGGAGTAAATGAGGGGTGGGGGAGGTGGGGCCTACCGTTTTGAGCTTGACAATATCATCTTTGGAGGGTATGTCACGTGGCCCGCACACCTTGAGGACCTCGTCACGTGCTAGGTCCTGCCAATGCGGGTTCATAGCCAGCAAGACGGTCGTCCAGGTGAGGAGGTTGGAGGTGGTCTGCTCGCCGGCGAAGAAGAACGTCTTGCACTCCTCGGCGATGTCGTTGGCGGTGATGGCGGACGGCGGCGGCGGAGGATGGTGGTGGCCGCCGGGGGAGTCATGATGACTAACCACCCCTCCTCTCTTTGATGATGGCGGCGACGAGGCCGCGGCCAGCTCTTTGATGCTGGCATGGATCATGAGGCCCAGTAAATCCTTGGGCCCATTCTCCAGAATCTTCTTCTTCTTCTTCTCATCGCTGGCCCAGTTTCCCCTCCTCTCTTCAATAACCTTCATTAATGACCTCTTTATCTCCTTGTCCAGTTTCCAAGATTTTATGTTCCGTTTCGTCGGCAGAAATCTATGCCCAATATTTCCCACATACACACCATTAATTACTACCACACAATTAATTACTTTCTTTTAGTGTGTCAAATATTCAAAATTGTCATTTATGTATTTAAATTTTTACTTTTTTATTACTTCAAAATTGTCATTTATATATTTAAATTTCTAATTACGCATGTATATTTTATCTCTTGTATTTGTGACTGTAGTATCTTTCAAAGAAAAAAAATATAATACTATTTTATTTTTTTTAATATTGTTAAAATATCATTGTTGGATGTTTAGTAAAAAAACAAATATGAAATGAAGGCACAAAGTGAAAATTTTAAAAGTTTTTTGTTTTGTTTTTTAAACTGGATTTCAAGTTTATAGATTTAGATTAAATTTTGTTTTTATCTTAACTCTATTATTTTTCCATATTCTTATATTCAAAGTTGAAAAAAATTTGACTAACAAAATGAACAAAAATATATTCGTAGAAAGTCATGCGACATTGACTCGTTAAAGAGGACATACGGAGTATTTTAACAAATTATCCGTTTATAACTAACGAGGATTGCCAGGTATGGCATTGTTAAGTATTTCAAATACGGAACAGGATAAAATGCATTTAATGTGATTATTTATTTCCTTAGTACTCAGTATTATTTTGTTTCATTGTATTTGTTCAGTTCGTTTGCTTCGAGTCAAATGAAACGAACTTGAAACTCCAAATTAAATAAAAATTATACTCCTTCCGTTCAACAAAATCCTTCCGGTTTTAACTTTGGGTAAAAAATAAGAAAAGTGTAATTTTGGATGACTTTCCAATTTTGCTCCTGATGTGATGGGAAAAAAGTAAAATGTGATAGTTTGGTTATTAGTAAAAAAATATGATGTGATAGGTAGGGTATGAAAAAGTAGGGGTAAAAGTGATTTTTTAATAGAAAGTGAAAAAGTTTTGTGGAAAGCAAAAAAACGAAAGAGGAAGAGTTTGTGGAACGGAGGGAGTAATATACATTTTATTTAACTTGTGGGAGAATTTCAAAATTTTATTTCATAATTATATTACCAAACACAAAGAAAATAGAGATGGTTGAAAGTTACCTATAGCCAGGGATGAAAACCTTTTGGAAAGCTTCACTAGCAAGGGCCAATTGTTGAGCTTGCAGCCTAAAAATGGCTTTCCCATCTTCATAGCTTTGGCCAAAGGCAGTCTGTGCCACTATATCTTCTGTCAACATTTGGAACCACTCTGAGACTTCAATTTCCACCTCCCCATTCCCACCCCTTGATGACATCCCTTCCCATTTCTCCACCATTTCCATCACTTTACTGGCTGCCACTGGTACCAACAGCTGTTTTTTTTTTTTTGTAAATAAAAAAGAGGACAAATTTTGAGTCAAAATTCCCCAAAGAAAATGGAGACAAATTTTGAGAGATTCCTTTTGGTAACAAAAAAAAAATCATTTAAATAAATCAAATCAAATCAACCTTGAACTTACTTTGAGATTCTCCATGTGGAAAGTGGGGGTAATGATTTTCCTGTGGTGTGCCCATTTTTCACCCTTGAGGCTCAAAAGCCCATCTCCTTCAAGCTGCCTGATCAATGGGTGTGCTTCATTTTTCTCATAGAACTCTGCCTTTGATGTGAAGATTTCTCTGATCAGGTCCGGATCCGCCACCGCCAAACGGGCTGTCGGCCCGAACCACACCAGAAATGTTGCCCCTGTTCGCAATTTATACAATGTTAGCATTATTATTAGGGCAATGCTAGGGATATACCAACATGGGATACCTCATTTGTACACCAAGCCAACACAGACACAAAATGTGTGTACAAGAGTTGTAAAATGTCTTTGCTTTTATTCATTGATTAATTTCCCACCCAAAAAAAAAAAGAATGAACCAAGGATGATAGTGTAGGACCCTTGTACCCTGCAGTTGTGGGGCGGGTTGGCAAATGCAAAGATTAAAAAAAAGGGAGCCCTTAGAAACTACCATTGTTACAGTTCTTGGACCACAAACACTTCTTGTCGCCATGTTCTCAGACCACATTAATACCCAAGTTTAACCCAAACGAAAAATAAATTATTTTTTAACTAAAAAATAAAACTTCAATTAATTTCTGTTCACCAAGGGGGGAAAAAAGAGCCATATATGGCCATTAAAGCTAAGAGAAAAGGGACGAAAAACACAGAATTTTCACCAGTTGAAAGGACTGGGGAGGGGGAAAAAAGCAAACCATCTTTCATGTGATGTTAAAGAATCTTGAGGCATCAGAGAGATGGTACATAAAGTAAAACAGGCATCCCTCCAATCTCCCAAAAGTATAACTCATCAAAAACAAAAAATACAAAAAAAAAACCCAATCTATAATAAAACTTGTTGGCCTTGTCCACAAATTTTAAAAAACAAAATTGATGACATGTGACAAGACAGAAAAAGTGATGGCTTTTGCTCACCATCAAAAGAAGACTCCAAATTAACAAAGAACCAAAACCCAACACAGAAAACATATGGGTTTGTGTGGAAAACAAGAAAAAATAATTTTTTTCATTAAAAACAGAAACAAAAAAAGAAAAAAAAAAGAAAAAAGAATGAATTACCATAGATTTTCTTCCAATGATGGTAGAAAGGAAGGACTCTAGGGAGAATGTTGTGGCAATTGGACATGTGTTGAGAGGAGGCTTTGACCATAAGGCTAACAATCTCCTTAGCATTGCCTATGAAGAAGCGGTAAGGAGGGCCTCTTATTCCTTGTTTGGCAAAGTGCTCTTCCGTCTTCCTTGGCCTCCACCACAGATAGCATATCCCCCTCACCACAAACAAACACACCACTAAACTAATGCTTGCACACTTCATGCTTTCCCATCCCTTCTCCTCTCCCATTCTTTCTTTTCTTTCCCTTTGCTGTTTTTTTTCTCCTTTGCTGCTCTGCTCTTAACGTTTCTTCTCTTTTAAATGCCAAAAAAGATCAGAAGAGAGAGAGAGAGAAAAGGGAGAGAAGAGAGAGAGAGAGAGAGAGAGAGAGATTTTGGCAAGGCTACCGGCGTAGGGGCCGTCTTTGGGTCAACCAATAAATGTAATACATCCCCTAAACTAAAATTTTCTGTACTCTGACTTTGATATATGAAGTATGAAGTACTCCCGATACTCCTTCCGTCGATAAATAAAGTTCTCGTTGCGGGTTACGTATGATGTTTAATTAAAATTATTTTCAAATCATTTTATATGAAAAATAATATGAAGTTAAAAAATAAAAATTGCATATTTAAAAACTAAATAAAAAGATTTACAAAACTAGATATGACATGACTATATTATTTTATCAAATAGGACACGAAAGTAGGCCAACAAAGTAAATACAATTTGACTTTCTGAATAATGAACGAAAATTTTATTGTTGGACGGAAGTAGTATAATTTAAAACAAACATTGAAAAAGAAAAAAAGTATTCTCTCCTTTCCAAAATGTTTGTCGTAAAATGAACTAAACATTTAAGTTTTTTAAAATTAATTTTATTTAGATATTTGGATAGAAATAAAAATAAAAATTTACATATTTATAAACTACATCAAAAATTCATTAAAATAAGAGGTGACAAAAATATTTTCTTTTATCAAATAATAGATGAATACGTACAAATAAATAAAAATTCTCATGATTCGTAAATACAGAAATGTGGCATTCTGTTTGCAGCGGAAGGAGTATTACTAGAAATTAATACTCCCTCCGTCCCAAGAAAATGGTTACGTTTTATTTTTTGCACATCCCGAAAAATTTTTTACCCACATCTAAAATGCCTAAATATTACCACATTTACCCTTTATTGTGGGTAGAAGTCGTTTTGAAAGTTTTTTTGGCGTTTGAGATGATATAGAAGTGTTTTATGGGATGTGCAAAAAATGAAACGTAACCTTTTTTAGGGACGGGGAGTGTGTGTGTCTATATATATATATATATAGATATAGATATAGATATATATATATATATATATATATATATATATATATATATATATATATATATATATGTATGTATGTATGTATGTATGTATGTATGTATGTATGTATGTATGTCTGTGTGTGTGTGAGTGAGATTATAAAATAAATTCATATCAATAAATTCATTTTTGAAATATAGTCTTAAACTATTTTATTTTTGTAATATGTATTTATACATACATAAAAATATTAATGATCAAAGAATTGCGCTAGATATCGTGAAAATCAAATGAGAAACAAATTTATGGACGGATGTATTGCTTTATTCCTTAATAATCACATTTTCCCTAAAGACGGCCTCAGGCACATGATCTCTCGATCAGGCCCGCCTAATCATTGTTGATAGAACTTGAGGGTCGAGTGCACTTTAAAAAGCATGTTTGATTCTTTCTTTTCACTCATAGAAATCTATCATAATATTTTATCGTCTCATAAAATTTTTCTCAATGTAACTTTTAATGGATTTAAGGCACTGATAATTTTGTGTAGATTTTTCAAAAAATACACTTTGATTTGATGAGTAAAAATACGATATGTTGTAGAGATTATTATGAATAGATATGATATCATAAATATGAGTCGTATGACAAGAATTAGTAAAAATAAAATTTATTTTTTAATAGAAAATTGATAGTTTTTTTAGAAAAATGACTAGAGAAAGAAGGAGAATGGCAAGGGAAGGAGAAAATATTTTTTTATTGCCAATAGAATAATTTTGGTGCATATCACTTTTAACACGAGAGAATCTTTCTCTATGAAATCTTTTGCCAAAGTCTAAAGTACTTTGCAAGAGGTTTTTTACTTGAAATAATATGTACTCGGTACTTTATACTTTATATCATTATCTTTCATCTATTAAAAATTACAAATCATAACAACTTAATATTGATTTTCTTAACTCACACACTATTTCAAAGCGTGTCCTAATATTGGGAGAGAGGAAATATTATTATTTTTTATTTAAAACACTTAGGTCATGTTCTTTTAGATTGAAAAAATTTGTTTCCAATTTTTTTCAACTTCTTCCAGTTTTATTCTAACGACTTAAAAAAGGTATTTATATATAATGAATGTACAATAATATTATATATCCAAAGTTATAATATACTATCTCAAATATGGACTAGGATGAGTCCTTTCTTATTTAAAGTCAGTATTTTCCTACATGTTTATTTGGGTGATAATTTAATTGAGTAAGTTTTAAGGCTTTATTTCTTTTAACATTAATTTCTTCCAATTTCTTACAACATCCAACTATAAAATTTCAATTCAAAAGAATAAGGCAGTACAATCTCACTTTAATTTGTTCTCGATCAATTTTTTCAATAATCTCAGCACCAATCCTTATATTAAAAATACTGAAGGGCTTACATTATTTTTCCGCATTTTTCTACATAAATATCCAACATTCAATTTTTTAACTCCGAGAAAAATAAACTACGGAATATAAATTAATTCAAGACCATAAAAATAAAACACCATTATTTCGTTTGTTTGTACACTTTTGCGGATGTATATAAACGCTTTTTCAATACAAGGTTGCCCCTGTCTCCTTTTGCATATGTAAACAACATTAAAATAAAATTAGGTGATGAGCTCAAAATAGTGTGGGCAGATATCAGGGTAAGCTCAAGATAGAAAGTTCAACTTATGGGTAGACAAGAATGTAATTAAGTTAAAAAAATTCAGTATCTCTTATTTTCTTTCAATAATGCCATTGAATTTTTTGAAATATTCATATGTGCCATTTAAGTATCATGGTTTGTCAAAAATGCGACTCTATTTTAATTTTTCATTAAATACTGTCATTGAACTCTATAAAACGTTCAAAAATACAACTCAGATATCTTTAAATACTCACAATACCTTTTAATAGGCAAAATTTTGTTCCTTTTCTCTAATTATATACATTTTTAAAAGTTTTCTTATTATTTTTGTTGTGCACCTATGGTGCATCTAGGTCCACAAAATTTAATTGTTTAAAAGCATATTCTGTAGCTTTGTATTCCATAATACTCCCTGCATCTCAAATTAATTTTCTTGATTTGGTTTGACAAAAACTTAAAAAGAATGGAATTGGGAGGTTTAAAGTGATGGAGAGAGGTGAAAAAGATAATAAACCACAAAAGATTTTCCAAAAAAGAAGCATTAAACTTTTCTTAGGACATTCAAAATAGGGAAATAGAAGATTAATTTAAGACAGAAGGAGTATATGATATGTTGTCATTATATTTTTCATTAATAAAAATTATACCTTCTCCCTAAAAACAATCTTTTATTTCAAAAATCTTCTAACGTTTTTAAACGTACATTAGTAAAATATTTCTTAATTTTTTTGTTTTATTTTTAATAATTTGACACGTGACTTGAAAACAAACGTCTCTCTTATCTAAACAAATTTCAACATTACAATCTTCACTTTTTGAAAAAAAAATAAACTAAGTTGATTTCTTTAGAGAAATTCAAAAAGGAAAGGTAGAAACTTTTAGTTGCATCTGAAAATTTTGGAGAGTTCAATGTCGTCCTTAATAAAAGAAATAATAGAGAGTGACATTTTTGACAAAATATAATACTTGAGTGACATTTTTGAACATTTAAAGAGTTTAATATCATTATTGGAAAAAATAAAAAAGTGGTGAGCTTTGCATTGTTTCTTGGTGATCTTTGCATTGACAGTTGGTGATCTTTGCATTGACAGTTGGTGAGCTTTACACTTTGACCGCCCATGACCAATGGCCACCACCGATAACCCCCACTGTTGCCGTGGATCGGTGGTTGAGTGGTGGTGCTATTTTTTTTTAACTTTTTTATTTAAAAAAGTGGTGAGCTTTGCATTGACAGTTGGTGAGCTTTGCATTGGCAGTTGGTAAGCTTTGCATTGGCAGTTGGTAAGCTTTGCATTGGCAGTGTTGTGTGTTGTGTCATCTGATTGAAGCATGTCATCTTATCATAAGGTGTCATCTCACTAGAATCAATCCATATATATATATATATATATATATATATATATATATATATATATATATATATATATACTTCAGTGAGATGACACACCTTACGGTGATATGACATGCTCCGGTCAGATAACACAAAGCTCACCAAACTTCAATTTAAAGCTCACCATATTTTTCAACACTTTGAATTTTTTTTGAAAAAATAAAATCAAAGGAAGGGGTGCTGACTGGACTTTGACTGTTGACCGCAGCCTGCCGCCGCTGCCGGCCGTCGCCGGACTCCGGCAGCCACCGCCGGTCGCCGCCTTCGGACTCCGGGCGGCCGCCGCCTCCAGACTCCGGAAGCCACCGTCGTTCGTCGCTGCCGCCGGACTCAGGCCGCCGCCGATGCTCTGCCTCCGGCTGCCGCTGTTGACCAGTGGTTGACCGGTGTTGCTATTTTAATTTTAATTAATTTTTTAATTTTCAAAATTTAAAAAAGTGAGTTTTGGTGTTCAAAGTGGTGAACTTTGCTTTATTTCCAGGTGAGCTTTGCATTGTTCATTGGTGAGCTTCCTAGTGTAGTGTGGTGAGCTTTGCATCAGGTGACCAAAACATGTCATCTCACAGTAAGGTGTCATCTCACTAGAGTCAATCCCTATATATATATACATATAATTGAAAGGGTAATTTTTTATTAAGAAAAAAGGAAAAGGAGAAGGAAAAAAGTACACGGAGGGGAGGACTAGACCAAAGCCCCTCTGAAACTGCATGAAATAAAGGAAAACTGAAAGGGAAAGAAACATGAGTGAAAAAGTGATCACTTCCAGATTATAAAGCCGGGATGCTGATCAAGGGAAAGGTTTCTAGGCATTACTTTCTTTGGTCTCTTCCCATCAATTCCAATAGGACCGACGAGACTGACATACCAAAAGAACTGCCTCGCTGTGTTTGGATTCACCTGGGAGAACTCACTTTCCTACAACCAGTAACCTATGAAGATCTTCCAGACTATTGCCCCTCCTGTAAATGTTTTGGCCACAAAAACTGTAAGAGAAAGAATGAGACCTCTAGATGGGTTAAAAATGAAGGGAGTACTAGAACTGGGAATACAACAATTGCTGTAGCTGTTTCCAAGCCTGGAGTGAACCAAACAACAAAAGAGGTTGTTTTGCAAACCAACCAGGGAGGCGCACGTGATGAGGATGCAACCAGGTCTATTTCCGCTGCTGAAGAAACAAACTCAAAGTCTAATGGGGCTGCTCCTCCAAGAGTTGAGGCCATGGCAACTAATTTAGCCCTAGCTAATGTGAAGGACTCTATAGCTCTTGAGCCCCCTTCAATTTCTGCTACTTTTGAAATAACCTCCCCTGACAGCTTCCCAGAAACTAGCCTAAGGTCTGATTCAGATCCTATTGTTTGTGAAGACACAGATTTTAATGAGAAAGATTCAGATGCAATTCTTTCTAAGAGTTGTACTGCAGCCCGTCACATTGTTAAGATAGCTTCTGATGTTTGTGAAGTAATTCCTACTGTCAATTGTCCAGCAGCTTGTGGTAATAGTGAGGTAATATTGGTATCTCCTGTCCAGGATGATACCCTTATACTGGAACCCAAATCTCCTTTACTTTATAACAATGAACTCAGTCCCGGTGCACACAATCTGTCTTCCGAGGCAGCATTGGATGGCACACAGACTGTTGACACTGATATTAATGAAGAGTACAACCCTGGTCCTTCTCAAATCAACCCAATTGAATTTCCAGTCCTCACAAAAGAACTGTTGGAAGCTACTAGTGGTGCACACACTCTTTCTCATGAGAAAGAGATGGAAGGCACACTAAGTCTTTCATCTGCAGGAAATGATGAGATACCTTCTGATCCTTTTGAAAACAAAAACTCTCCTCCTCTGTTGACTAAAGATGCAGGTATTAACCCATCAACAATAGGACCGGTCCTTCAGTCCTTTGAGATCGACGGACAACAATATGAAATTAGGTCCTAGATTGATCCCCCGAACTGTGTGATCCGAAAATATTTTTGAAAAATGTCATTTTTGAGATCTAAAATTCTATTTTTCATGTCAATCGATTATGATCAATATAAAGATGAATTCTTGATATAAAAATGATATTTTGGACAAATAAATATTGTGTGATGCATGACGGTACACTAGGGCGCTATTTGCTATTGGATGATATGATAAATATTGATGGTTGATTGGATATGATGAATGAATCAGGAATTAATATAATATAATGAAATGTTATGAATTACGATAATTAAAAGGATGCCCTCTGTGATGAAGATCATATAATGAAGACGATCTCATTCTGACGAAGTATCAAAAATGTTGCTATGAACTAATGAACCGTAAGAGTGAACTATGACTACAAATATTGACCTGAGTTAAATAATGATTATGAATTGATGAGCCATGATTCAAAATGAATAGATTGATGATTATTTAGATATTTGATGATAAGGCTATCTAAGAAGACCTCTAAGATAAAACTCAGATTAGAATGGACTTGCGAAAATATGAATACTCGATGATTTGGATAAAAATGTATAAACGTGTTTCGTAGACCAAACTAGAGGATCACTCGTTTGGAAATACCCCAACATGATAATGATCAATCACTCTCTTGTTGTTTCCTTAAAATAATTATAGTTTAAGCGTCTGAGAATTGTTTGCCTAAAACTAATTATAGTTTAAGGGTTTGAGACTTGTTTGTCTTAAACTAATTATAGTTTAAGCGTCTGAGAACTATTTTCCTCAAAACTAATTATAGTTTAAGCATCTGAGAATTGTTTTCCTTAAACTAATTATGGTTTAAGCGTTGGCTCATGAAAATTATGATTTGGCCTTAGTCTAAGAATAGATAAGAGCGTTGTTATGATCTGGACTTAGACTAAGAATAGTTTAAAAGGGTTGTTATGATATGGCCTTAGATTAAAAATAGCTAAGAGCGTTGTTATGATTTGGCATTAGACTAAGAATTGCTAAGAACGTTGTTATTATTTATCCTTAGATTAAGAATAATTTAAGAGCACTGTCAAAATAATAAATATTGAATATTCAAATTAAATAACATGTGTTGATATGAATAGAACAAAATCAAAATCATAAATGATGAATATTTGAATTGAATATTATGTGCATGATATCAAATGATTTGATTATGAATTGAGATTCAATTTATATGGATGTTCGATGCATTAGATATGTCTACTCAGCTTCAACGCTGAGCGTGTAGTATGTTTTATTTGCTACACGCAGAAAATAGAAAGAATGATGTGACGTGATCCTGAAAGCAGACGGAGGCAAGATAGTCGGGATGGATGTGATGGTTTTGAATTGAGGAACAAAAATAAATTATGTTTTGTGATTTGTTAAGCTTCCGCAACATTGAAAACTATGTACTGTTAGTGTTATGAATATTATTTTTATGATGAATATATATGTGTTTGGAAATGTTTTGAATTTTTACAATTACCAAGTTAATACTTTAGTTTGAAAGGAGCTGCAGACTTGGACGGATTAGGGTGTTAGAATTAGCATGTGTTCCGTTTGCCTGATTTGATGTGATCTGATTTTTTGAAATTCCCATCTGGTCTGATTTGATATGATTGGATCTGATCTTGCCTGATTTGATATGGGTTTGATCAAAAATAAAATTAAAATTTTTATTATTATAGTTAAAATAATAATAGAATATTAGTAATAATAGTAATAATAAAAAAATAATACTAATAGTAATAATAATAATAATAATAATAATAGTAATAATAATTATAAATTCAATAATAGTAATATAAATATTTATAATAAAATCAATAATAATGACAGAAATAATAATAATAATAATAATAATAGTAATAATAATAATAACAATGATAATAATAATAGTAAGAATAATAATAACTATAATAATAGTAATAGTAATGTTAGTAGTAGTAATAATAATAATAGTAATAGTAATAATAACAATAGAAATAATAAATGTAATAATAATAATAATAGTAATCATAATAATAGTAACAATAATAATATTATTCATATTAATAGTAATAATAATAATAGTAACAATAGTAATAATAATTATAAGCATAATATTAATAGTAATAGTAATAATAATGGTAATAATAATAATAGTAATAATAACATTAATTTTGTTTAGATTTGGTCTGATCTGATCTGGTCTCTGATCTAATCTGATTTTAATAAGAATAAATAATAAGCAGAAAAAATTAATTGAACGCAACACTGCCTTATTTTCAATTAACGAGTATTATCTTTGTAATTATTTTGAGGACTAATTTAGGAAAACACATAGTTATTGAGTACCATTTTGGAATTTTACTCCACAAAAAGTGTCAAAAAAAAAGGAAGACAAAACGTTAGATGCGATATTTAATTGAGTTTAAATATAAGTACTATGCTAGACGTAGTATCTAATTGGTTGGAATAGACGGGTTGGAGGAGGGTGAAGGGATTGGTGCTGCCTTGGGATGATGGTCTTAAATTTGTGCACATGGGAACAAAGACGGACTATATATATTGAGGAAAGGGCGGGGTTCATTATATTCTTCTATGATTTTTGTAGTGAAAATGGGGGTGTGGATGACCCAACAAGGAGTGCCCACCCAAGGGGCAATCACCCTTAATATTGTCTTAATAGTCCCAAGACATGTTGGAGCAATGTACCCTTCATGGGTCCTATTCCCCTCTCAAACAACAAACTCAACGGTTACAATTTATAGCTCTTGTTTTTCTTTGTAATGCTCTAATGTTTAGTCACCTTAAATTAGCTTTACCTTCCCATTGACAAGACTCAAAGGATAAATCTTTTGGACATGCTAGGTGTACACCATAATTTTTACGTCAATACTTTGATGGTTCACACTAACACAAAATACCATTACAAAACTATACGAGCACACTAACATTCTGTGCAACTCTGAGCTATCAGATTGTCGATGCATACTTGTGGTGTACGAAATTGTGTACAAAAGTGGTCTATAAGTATCATTTTAAATGTGCGCCTTTTTTCAAACACGAAAAATTTTATGGGACGCAGGGAGTATTATATAGTGTATGCTATGAGGTGTGTGAATTGTGTTCTTGTGGGCATCCCATGTGGGTTGGTTTCTCAATATTATCATACACATATAAGAACAACAAATTAAACCCGGTATAATCTCATTCCCATGAAGTTTATTTTGGGAGTTTGAAAAGTTTGACGTGTTATTTTAAATTAGTTGATTTGTTTAATTGATGATAAAGTATTGGGGAAAAAAAGAATGTTTTAGCTCCGTCGACCGTAATGGATGCAAAATCATATTTACCTAGATTCACCTTCCCATTTTGATTTTTGAATAGCTTAATTGCAACCTATCACACTAGCTACTTTTTAATGTTGACTCTATTTTTTTTTTTGATGTGATAAAGTATGAGCATTAATGTACTTTTCGATTTATAGTGATAAAGTGAGAGCACTAAAATATTTTTGTTTTTTGTTGGTTATATTGGTTATAAAAAAACCATTTTTTTGTTAAAAGGTTTAGCTTTTTACTACGGATGCTAGATTATAATACTCCCTCCGTCCCAAATTATTTGCAACGTTTGCTTTTTGGCAGTCGCAGGAACTTTTGTTTATTTCTACGTTTTCATTGGTTATTTGATAAAATAAAATATTATTGACACCTCTTATTTCGAAAAATTTTTCATGTAGTTTTTTGACATGTAAATTTTATTCTTTATTTCTTTACCAATATGTAAATAAAATGAATTTAAAAAACTTGATATTTTGCCTCGGGAATACAAGTGTGACAAATATTAAGGGACGGAGGGAGTATTTAATAAAATATTTATAAGTTAATATTTACTCCGTAATATTTAGTGTAATTTAGATTTTATTAAATGAGTAAAATTGCGAGTTCAAATCATTTGAGGTTTTTTTTGACTTTTTTTAGTTCGATGCATTTATTGAAATGACATTCTAGAGAATTATTTTTTAGGATTAGGGTTTTAAAGTCCTATATATTACTCCATCTCTTCTAAAAAAAATTCTATTTTGACCAAGTGTAAGAATAAGAAAGTGTTAAATTATAGTTGATTTTTAATTTTACCTCTGATGCGATGGGTAAAAGTAAGATGTAATTCATAGATTATAAGAGAAAAAAAGTATGAAGTGATATATAAGAGTATGAAAAAGTAAAGTTAAGGTTATTTTTTAATAGAAAATAGAAGTGTTTTGTTGGAAATTAAATTAAATGAAAGAGGAAGTGTTTGACTTTTTTGAGTCAAACTAGACAAATTTTGAGTTCCAACTAAATGAAAACCAGAATGTATTTTATCATAAAAATGACTTTATTGGATTTATCGTATTGAAAACTTTCAAAATTGTATTTCATTATGCTAATATGCATTATACATTGAGAATAATTGGAGTTCAAAATTTATTTAGTTTGACTCGAAAAAATCAAACTCAACAAATACACTAACACGGAGGTAGTATAATACAAAAACTTCCCACACTCTTTTTTAATCGACAGCAATGGTGATGAACCGCTCATTGTCAATCTCTTTCTGGCGCCCACCCCTCCTATAGCTTACCAATTCTTTCCTTTTTAGTTTCATAGCTTAGACTTCTTGGCTTAATAAAATAAGAGTAAGGGGCTGTTTGTTTCAGCCTCTTAATGGTTCAGATGTCTGAATGGTTCAGCACTTAATGATTTAGACTGTTTGTTTCAGCCTCTTAATGGTTCAGATGTCTGAATGGTTAAGAGATTTGCCTCTGAATGGTTAAGTATTATACAGAGTCTGAATGGTTAAGACCTCTTATCTGAATTGATCAGACATTTGCCTCTGAATAGTTAAGCAATATACTAGCTCTTAATGGTTCAGACCTCTTACTGGTTCAGCACTTAATGGTTCAGACCTCTTACTGGTTCAGCACTTAATGATTTAGACTGTTTGTTTCAGCCTCTTAATGGTTCAGATGTCTGAATGGTTAAGAGATTTGCCTCTGAATGGTTAAGTATTATACAGAGTCTGAATGGTTAAGACCTCTTATCTGAATTGATCAGACATTTGCCTCTGAATAGTTAAGCAATATACTAGCTCTTAATGGTTCAGACCTCTTACTGGTTCAGCACTTAATGGTTCAGACCTCTTACTGGTTCAGCATCTACCCATTCAGAAGTTGCCAAACAGCCCCTAAATTCCTTAAATAGTCTTTTGTAAAAAGAAGTTTTTCTAAATTAGTCCTCAATAAGTTTTAACTACATACATGTTCCTCTATTATTAAGATTTATTCCCAAAATAGTCTTTTGTAATAAGGTATTTTCCCAAATCAGTCCTCAATAAATTTTAATTACCTATGTGGTCCTCTATAATTGAGATTTATTTCCAAGGTGGTCCTTCGTAAATAATGTTACTCAAATTAAGATTAATTGAGGGTATTTTTTATTCGCTAAATTTAGAATTAATTCTTAAGATAATCATTTATAATGAAGTGCTTTTCCAAAATGGTTTTTCTAATTAAAGATGTGTATTTTTTAAGTTTTAAATAATGCATAAATTATTAATGAGTAAATTCTCAAAATGATCCTTTGTAATAAGTAAGGTGTTTTCCCAAATCAGTCCACAGTAAGTTTTAATTACTTATGTGGTTCTCTATAATTGATATTTATTCTCAATATGGTCATTTGTAAATAATGTTACTCAAATGATGATTTATTGAGAGATATTTTGGCATTTTGATCATCCAAATCCAAAGTATATTCTCGAAACAATCATTTCTGTACAACTAAATGTAAAATTTAAAAAATACATTGACTATAAATAATTTATGAATTATTTAAAACTTAAAAAAATCTTTTAAATTTCAAATAAAATACACATCTCTAATTAGAAAAATCATTTTGGGAAAGTACTTCATTATAAATGATTATTTTAAGAATTAATTCTAAATTTAGAGGATAAAAAATACCCTCAATTAATCCTCATTTGAGTAACATTATTTACGAAGGAACATCTTGGGAATAAATCTCAATTATAGAAGACCACATGTGTAATTAAAACTTATTGAGGACTAATTTGGGAAAATACCTTATTATAAAGGACTATTTTGGAAATAAACCTCAATTATAGAAGACCATGTAGGTAATTAAAACTTATTGAGGACTAATTTGGAAAAATCCCTTATTACAAAGGACTATTTTGGGAATTACTCATAAAATAACTTCTTTTCACTATTCATAAAATTAATATGTATTATTTTTCTTGCACTTTTTAATTAATTATGTATTTAATAAAATGCTAAATTATACCGTTAGTCGTTCAACTTAGTATATTACGCACAATTAGTTCTTCAACTCTAAAAATTAAATTTTCTTTAACTTGAAGGACAATCTGTAAAATTTTTAAAGTTAAAAGCCTAAGCGTGCATACAATACATCAATTTGAAAGAGTAATGATGCCATTTAGCCTTGATAAAGTAATGAGTACAAATGACAACAATTTCAGCGTTTTAGAAAGTTACGGAATATTTAAAGGGAACATTTAGGTAAGTTCCCTTTAGAAATATCATTAAAAATATAAAATACTAATGTTAATTAGGTAAGTTTTATTTTTTATATTTTTAGGTAAATTCTACTTTTGTAGATATTCTCACAAAAAAATTTTCTTTTTTTTTTTAAAAAAAAATAGATGCTTGTTTAAGTAGTAAGAAAATATTTATTTTGCTCATATGTAAGTTTATGGTAGACTTTAGGTCCACCACAGAATTTGCCTAGAACACATTAGTATATCAAATACTCTATAATTAGATATACACAGTAATACTCCTAAATTTAAATTACATTTTCAGTTTGCGATGTTTGATTGAAGTTATTTTCAAATCATTTTATATGAAAAATAGAATACACATTTAAAAACTACGTCAAAAGATTATTTATAAAACTAGTGGTGACATTATTATACGGAGTATTACTTTATCAAATAACTAACAAAAATAAAGAAAGAAAGTATATGAAGTTTGACGATGTTAATAGTGAATATGCAATTTATTTTGAGAGGGAGGGAATATTATTTTATGAATATTTAAAAAAGAAAAGCTAATTCAAACACTGATGACCAAACTAAAAAGGATAAAGATGTACATTGTATAAATAATTAAAAAAAGGGGAAAAAATGACAACGAAACAATATGGCAACATTTTAATGAACTTTTGATGATGTTTCAACTATAAAGACTCGTTTAGCATTAGCTTTAGATATTAGCATTAACGTCTTCAAAAAATTATCTATTAGTAATATTTAACGTTAATGTTTTTAAATTTAATTTACACTATTAAATTTTTTACTCAAAACACTAATACTAATAAAAAACGTTGTTCCCAAATAATACTTTAACAGCGGTTTGCACCACACTGCACAGAATTAAAAGTCAGATTAATTATATTAATTTTATATTTTGGGAGTAAAATTGATAATTTTTCAAAATGTTGGTGTGAAGTACGTAGCATTCTCCTAAATTTATTGGGGTATACACTACTCATTATGAAGTTTAGAAGGATGCGAATTAAATAACGGAATGAGATTTGACAAACCGACTTTTGTACGATACCTTTTTAAACTTTTATTTACTCTTTTACGGAGTATAGGACATCACTAGCAAGTGTCAAAAATTCACAATGCATCATTCCAATCCTCCAATTAATCATCATTACGCATGAAACAAGTCCCAACTCCCAAGCAATTGTTCACATTCTTTTATTACTCCCTAAGTTCCAAAATATTTTGTATTTTATGTAAAATGAAATAAAATTTGAAATTTATTGTATTTAAATATTTCTATATAAATTTAAAATAAAATTTACATATTTAAAAATTAGTCAAAAATTCTACAAAATAAAATAAGACAAGAAGGTTTAATTTTATCAATAACCAATCAAAACGCAAAATAAATAAATATTTCTATAACATTTGAATAGTGAAGAGTGTATTTTTTGAGAAATCACCTCAAACATGAGTAAAACATATTCTCTCCGTTCTCAAAAACACTTCCTCTTTCATTTTTTTCACTTCCAACAAAATATTTCCAGTTTCTATTAAAAAACTACTTTTAACCTTACTTTGGCTCTGTTCCGTTCTGCTTATTTTTTCTGATTTGATCTGATCTAATTGGATCTGATCTAATCTGATCTGATCTGATTGGATCTGATCTGATCTGATCTGATTGATCTGATTAATTATGATTTGATTTAAAATTCAAATCAATAATTTGATTTGAGTTTATAATAACGTTTGAAAATTGTAATGATAATTCATATTATAATATAATCAATATTTTTTTATTTATAATTATTTTTTAATAAAATAAAATTAGTTAATTTATATATTAGAATAATCTTTCATATTTTAATGTTATAATATTTTTTATTTTATGATTATTGTTTGTGTAATAAGAATATTGATTTAACATTTTCATAATTAGTTCATACATACATTCAAATAAATACTTAATTTATATATAATCCATATAGAGAAGAGATAATATTTTTATTAAAATATCTCATCGTTATAAAAGATCAAACCTTTAAAAACTCAAATTACAGGTAGCAATAAAAATGAATTTCAAAAGTAGAATTAGATTGACATTGTCAATATATTTTAAAAATAATTTTTTCGACGTCTAATAATTAAAGATTAATTTCTCAATTTTCTATTTAATTTGTTTCTAAAGTTTATTCTTTTTCATTTTTAAGAATAATAATAATAATATTAATATTAATAATGATGATGATGATGATGATGATGATGATGATAATAAGAACAACAACAACAATAGTTCTTTCTGGTCTGATGTGATTGGATCTGATTTAATCTGATTGGATCTGGTCTGATCTGATTTGATCTAATAGGATCTGATCTGATTTGTTCTGATCTGATCTGATTCGATCTGATCTGGTCTGATCTGATTTTAATAAGAATAAGAAAAAATAAGAAAAAATAAGTTGAACGGAACAGGGCCTTTGTCATACCCTACCTATCACATTATACTTTTTCTCTAATAATCTATACATCACATCTTACATTTACTCATCACATCAAGAGCAAAATTGGAAGTCAACTATAATTTAAAACTTCTTTATTTTTACACTTAATCAAACTAGAAATTCTTTTTTAGAACGGATGGAGTAACATTTATTCTCAAAATATGAACTCTACATTTTTATCCCAAAGTACTCCTTAGAAATTTGCAATATGATATTATGACACTGAATAGTGCATTTCGTTGTACTTTTTGGTCATATATATTAATATTATTAGCATTGCACTTCTTTTTTGAAATAAAAAATATGAGATTCTTATTTTAATATATTTTTTATGTTTAACTCTTAATTTAATCATTTTTATATCCTTTTTAAGACGGAGGGGAGGGAGTAGTATACATGAATAAAAATAACAAAAAGGTAAAGAAGAAATTAAAGGTATTATTCTTAATAAAATAATACGGTTGAATAAGGGAGCTTCCCGTTGGCATGCTAAGCCATAAAAAAAATTCTATGAGGATCTGGTTAGAATTCATCTCTAAACTCAATCAATCACTCCCTAATTGTTGTTGAAACACGGGTTTATGACGTTTTCTTACTAAAGCCGCGTTCGTTGTTATGACAGGTTTTGATAATGCCAAACCGCCGTGAACGAGACAAGTCATTGAATATACAAGGCGAGAACCAAAGATGAGAACAAGAGCCAAACGAAGACCAAGAACGAAGACCTTAGTCTTAGCATCGTTGAGTCGGTCTTTATTGTGATCAAGACCGACCCAATCTTTACACCTTGGCTCTTTAGGCTAAAATTCTTTTCAATGCATTTCAAACATCATAAAAATGTTTTTCAAAGATGTATAAAACATTAAAAACACTTGGTGTTCGCCCAAACCAAAAACCAAGCCATCTGGCGTTCGGGTTTCAGAAACCGGCATTCGGCATTCGGTTTTCGGCGTTGGTTTTTGGCGTCCGAACTAACCAAATGGTTTTCAACTTTTTATGACTGGTTTTTACTTCTGGGCACATTTAAATAGTTTTTCATCAAAAACACTTCAAAAACCACCTTTCGTTTTTTGTCGTTTGATAAAAACCATGTGAAACGGCATTAACTTAGCTAGCC